AGTGTTTCTTGACCTCTCCGTTTCAAAGGTTGAGCCTGTACTGCGAGGCTCCGGACATACGTGGAGTTTAAGTTGGAAACCTCCAGCGGGGACTTCATGATTGAGCATGTGTTTCCTTAGAATTAGTCACGGTGACTTTTCCCCTCAAGAGAAGTTATTTTTAACAACAAAGGCTTTCATGTTGAGCAACAGCAGCCAATAACAATTGAAAGGAAGTGTTAAGCTTTAAGCTCCAGTTAATGTTTGGTGCATCACACTGAGGAAATCTGTGCTAAAGGCCTTATGGTTATGCTTCTGTTATGCACAACATATAAGATTTGAATTCTTGCTTAAATCAGTGGTGGAATAGAGGCAAATATTCACAACCTCTTGGACGTGAAAAATGACATTTAAACCCAAAGGAATTAACAAATCCCCGTTCCTGATGTGACAGCTTTACATAGCTCTCGTTTCCTCTTTGTTCAGGAAAACCTGATTAACTAAAAGATGTGGTTTTCCCAGCTCATGTAAAAAGACTGCCTAGCGTATGATATGATTAGCATGACATAATGATAATACATCCCAGAGGGCAGTCCGTTGCACTAAAGCGGAAATTATTTCTCATTTTGCAGGGCTAACAAAGGAATTCCCTGTTTCATCCACACAGCCTGGTTGAGAAAGATTTTGAAGAGGTCTGTGAGGTCCCATTCCCCTCACTGCTGACCCAGTAGCACCGTCCACCCCCGCCAAACCCAGGAGCCATAAATGGAACCAATCCTTTGTGCGAGGGGAGTGGAGCAGATTTACTGCGGATGGTCTCCTTACAAAGAGCCACACCACTGTCACAACAGGACCGGGATCAGCTGCTCCAACTTTACGGCATGCTTTACACAGCCACTGATGCAGACACAACTTCTGTTATCACTCAGCATTCATGCACCTCTCCGGTGCCTGTCTGCACCCACAGAGAGATACCATGTTCACTGTTCAGGCTGCTAAATTATAGGCATATCTCTCAGGGACACCACAAGTTGTTTGGATTTCACAACGTACCTAAAACGAATTCGAGGTCAGTTCCCACTCTCAGTCCTTTAAAATCAGGGCACTCACTCTCTTGTTGAATCTGTGGTACTCTACTTCAGCTTATTGTACTCTTGTTTGTGTCTTAGCACATTTAACATATAATGTAAAGCATGGTGTATCACCTTGTTGAAAGTTCTATCCAACCTCTCTCTGGTTATCTAATTCAGGGTTAAGGGAAGCTGGAGCCTATTCTAGGTGACACAGGATGAGAGGCAGGCTACACCCTGGTTTAGCGCAGAGAGCTGCATGCTCACATTCATGCCTGTGGTCACTTCAGATTCGCCAGCTAACCTAACCCCATCAGTGTCTCTGGGAGGAAGCCACACAGACACGGGGAGAACATGCAAACTCCACACAGACAGACCCTAGGTTAGAGTCAAAGGTTGGACCTTCTCACTGCGAGGTGGCAGTGCTAACCACCACATCACCGTGATGCCCTTTGCCATTAAAAATAAAATTTCCTCAGCCAAAGATTTATTGCTATACGTCCAGTGTTAACCTACTTTTATCAAGATCTAAAAGAAAACATAATATTAAAAAATAAATTCAGTAACCAAAAGATGTTTTCTGCTTTTAATAACTTTGACCGTCATTCTGTCATCTTCAATAAGACTTGATTTCTTGGCTCACCAGCTGGCAAATTGCTTATGCCAGCTGTACGCTCCGGCCATGTTTTCTTGTGGGTTTGGTTTTGCTATGCTGACTTAATTTTGAAACTGATAGAGCTGGCATGTCCGCCTCGCCGGGAGTGTTAGTATTAGAGTTCCTGAAACTCCAACCGTTGATTTGACACCTTCACGCCTACAAGGTGGCAAATAAGTGAAATCCATATTCAACATGAACACTTACACCACACTCAACATCTCTGAGAGGGAGTTGTCCTGAATGCTGCACAAAAAAGTGAAGCTCATGTCTAAATTAATATTCAGTTAATGTAAACTACATTTAAATATTACAGATGTCCTCCAAATTAAGTGGCAACATCCATCTGTTTACGTTTCGTTGCAATCACTAGTGTGTTGGCACGTCAACAAATTGCCTGCACCAGCTGTGCCTTTTGGACATGCTTCCCAGTCTCTCTAGTAACTTTGGGTTTAGTTTCCTCCATCAGTCTCTGACATGCGAAACTTAAGCTCCTCGCCTTTCTGCCCTGCCAGGATCTGAAGTAAAGGGCTTCTGGAAGCAAAAAGTTTTCATGAATGGTGAAATTATTCTTAACAATAATTAGGGCAAAGTTAGACTCAGCAAGAAATAGTATAAAGATTTAAAATGACATGCACAGAAAGGAAGATGTTGACATAAAGATTTTATTCTTAGATGTTATTGTAGACAGCTTTGTGAAATGATTACATTTCATTTAATTTTATTACAAATTCTGCTGAATACTTGAAGACTTTTTTAAGAGGTATTTTTTCCCCCAAACACCTTAAAATATTGGCTTTACAAGAAGTTGATATGAGGTCAAACACACAGATTATGTTATTTTTCTGATCTGTAACACGTCGGTAACATTGATGAGTTGCAACTGATTAAAAATATTATGATTTAATCCCGTAATGCAAAGTGTATCATATTTGATAGAGAAGTTTAAGACCCCTTAAGACCCCAATAAATTGTACAAAATACAAATTCTGCAAAAATGATGCAAATCCTAACCCATACATGCAAATTCATAATTAATTAAGCTTTAAAAACCCTCCAGTTTGAATCTTTTATCTGGCCTTTATTTCATTGTTCAGGCTTTATAGGACTGATATGTTTTTGCTGCATGTAAGTAAAACTGAAATCTGAAAAACAAATTATTGTGAACATTAAGAATTTAATTTCCTCACTTCTTTTAAGTCAGTGCAATAAGCTGCACTCATAGAGAAAGGGGACTTCGGTTCTCCATTGACTAATGAAAGCTGATATCTTTTCCAGTGATTCGACCTTGGGGGCCTCGCAAATCTTTCTCAAGTGAGTGTTCATTTTGCTCATACAAAGGTGCAGCTAATCTGTGAGGAAAGCCCTCAGCACCTGCAGGGGTCCACCTGTCTGACCTCTTTCTTCCCGCTGACCTGAGACAATGCAAAGCTGGGCGGCTTCACCTTCTCCCACAGCTTGTGTTACACAACCACCCAGGGCAACAGTGGACATGAAAGTGTTTTTGCTTTCAGGTGAACTCAGGTAAAGGCAGATAACACACCTTTTAACTCTCTCATGGACACGTAGACAAAATCTAACAACAACAAAAAAAAAAACTTAGTTTATTTACTGAGCATAAAATGAACACAAAAAAATGAATGATTATGAATAATTATTGGAAATCAAATCTGCAAATAAATACACTGTTTATGTTGAATAGTCAAGATGATAATAATCCTAATTGCCTTGTCAGAGTCAAGAATGGTGATGTAATCAGTATTAAACGCTTTAAATTACAGGAAGAAGTTATAACCTTTTTTGCTACTGCCCTGCTGTGAAGTTAATATTGAGCATTTGCCATACCAGATCTTGACTGTAAATATAGTTATCTATATTTTAATTGTTCTGCTCTAAAAAAGTTTTATGCCCGCGCTCAGTGAAGAAAATGCGGATGACATCAGTGAACATGATCTGATCTGACGCATCTGTGACCGAACCCACCAACAGAGATGCCTTTCACATATCTTACACTAGAACCCCCCAATCTCTTGCCACATTAGGAATGTGGCTAAGACCCTGACCCAGACCCCAACCCCCTCACACAACCCCCGCCCAACAACACACACACACACACACGCACACACACACACACACACACTCTCTCTCTCTCTCTCTCTCTC